TGTTACTGGCACTACAAGGAGTGATGCCAAGTTGGCGATCAGTATGGAGAACCTGAGATGTGGGAACGAAACATGCATGTACCTGGCAGATTCCGACTGTGATGCTGAGCTCGGGCCACAAGATGAAGAAGGGGCCGGACACGACGGGCGCGGGTAGCTGGCCCCATCCGAACATACCCTCAACGAAGGAGCCTGCGGTTGGGTTGATCGTGCACGACAGGTGTGGGCACAGACGGGGGGGGTTCAAATCGCGGGAACAAAAAACGCACGGTCGGCATAAGCGCGTCTGACACGACTCAACGGCATGTTCCCTCATGCAAACGATTAATCATAGCATTTCTCGTGATGGGAACCCGACGAAATGAGACGCGCCGAGTCCATCGCGTGTCTACGGTACACGAAACAACAAAACCACTTATTCGACGGCACCTACCGAGCGCGATCTGGAGGGCGCCGACCATGAGGGACAGGAACCCGTAGTAACCAAGACGACTGCGGTAGTACGAGGCGGAGTAGGTCGACGCGCCTCCTTGGAAGAACCGGTACATCTTCCATTGAAGGAATGTCAGGGCACCTGAAGGTATCGAAGGACGGGTTCGGATCGAGGAAGGGGGGGTGGTGGATGGAGGAGAGTGGTGGGGTCAGGTTCGACGAGAGAAGCGTGATGGCGTAGGGTCTAGGTGCTCCTGGCTGTGCATTTTACTGCAGCAAGTCTCAACACCAGCAACAGCATGTCAACGTGGCGGTACACAACAACACACCAGAGAGATAGCATGGCCACTTACCGATGGTCTGTTGTTTGGAAGATTGGTGACGTCGCGCACGTGCCATGATTCCAGTAGGGACCAGTGAACAGGACAGCGAAAGAGCCAGCAAAGGTGGAGAGGTTACAACGAGGATCGCGAGAGGCATGCCTCCAGAGCATGAGCATTCTTGCATGAAAGACGACATCTACATGCTGGGTGGCCATTGACTCGTATGTCTGTCTCCAATAGGTATTGAGCTGTTTCAACAGTTCAAGTGCTGTGGACCGTTCCGAATCATCGCTAGACGCAAGGGTATGGGCCAGGATGTTCGCCGCTACACACATTGATAACTTTTCTTGTTATTTACCGCACACGTGTCTAGCGGTATTGTTGACCGCTAAGTCTCTGACGACCTTAAAAATATATACCGCGAAACCACCCGTCAAACTTACGGTGCCCGCGTAGCCCCAGAATCCGAGGATGCCCATGAGAGCGATCGAGTTAATCTGAAAACAGAAGACGGGGTCAATGGACAATGATGGGGCAGCAAATTTTACACATTAGGGTATTGGAATGCATACATAGGCTCAACACACACCAGAGGAATCAACGATTGCTGATACTGCTACAGGAAAATATACGTCGATGAAAAAACAACCACGCACAAGTCGTTCTTGCCGCATATGTACAAACAACAAAACGACGTCCATGTCAACACCAGAATGAATAATCGAGAATGGACCCACTCCTGTTCCGAAATCATGAAAGTGTTTTCATCTTGAGTTTTGGGGGGTACACAACTACTTCAAACCTCCGTTGTGCACGTTCGGCCCTGAGATATTTGCTGCTGTGAGAACCAAGCGGCAATGACAATCAACCCTAAACAGCCTTTCCACAATCTGCATACAATGTACAAGCGTACCTCTCCCTGGCTGACGGAGATAGTCGGGTGCAAGATTTGCAGAGGCCCGGCCCCGCCCCCAACGTTTCCGTGGTCGGCTTGGAAGGCGATCAAGCTGACCGTAGTGAGGAAGGGGAACCAGGCGGCGAGGGTGATGCCGAGGCCGAAGAGGGAAGTGGCCTTGCTTCCCCACCGACACGCGACATACTGTTGTTGACGATGGCGCGGGATCGAGAAACATCATTGATCAAAACGGACGTCGGTACATTAGTCAAGAGTAGACGTGAATATAGAACTATTCCGAACAACGGCGGGTCGTTGTACGTACGTACAACGCGTCTTTTCGGCTATCTTTTAATCGCCGCACCAACACAAAAAAGAACCCGTGTCCTTCTCTCGTGCCGAACGAGGCCGCCGGGAGACAACAATGCCCAGTAGTATGCCCAATAGTTTTCAATTTCAAGTACGAGGGAGTACAATGCATGCAACAAAGAACGAGAGGTATTCCTCACGCTCATACAATACAACGAAGATGCGAGATATCGTATGGGATACACGAAACTCTAGCACGCCTGTTCACCAAGAACCAAAAACAACAGATGCAGACAGTGTAGACGCACACACGATCCACACCCACCCACCCACACACCACACACACACACCTGGAATCCAAGGAACATGGATACCAGACCGAACAGGGTGACCGTCAGCTGCGCGAGCAGAATCACGATGGGCGGGAAGACTCCATCACTGCCATTCCAGTCGACGCCCTCGGCGGAGGCAGCGGTCAGGTCTACCGTCCCGCCGATAATCACGATGATCCCGTAGGCAAGGATGAGCCCTGCAACATGCAAAACGCGCGTGAAGAACAAAAAGAGACATGGGACCCGCCGTTTACATGTTAGTCGTTGTTTACAGCAGCACACCGACGGGGGCGGCTCGCGTGCGTGCATCGCGCAAGATCATGGTCGAGGGGTGTTGGTGGAGACAAGCCGCGCAACCGGTGGTGTGCGCAAGAAGCCAGGCAACGAAATCAATGGCACAACACGATCGTGCCAGCGTTAAACTGTACGTAGTCTAAACCGGATCCCGTCTGTGTGCCTTTCGAGTCTACGATGTAGCACGCGCGGGAGAAGATGTGGGTGGGGCTGGCGGAGCGCATGCTGCACAAACCTGAGGTCGTGGTCAAGTCATCCACGAGGTTGGCTCGAGGGGAATCCATCAAACGAGCCTCGCCGTAGCTTGTCATGATGATCGCTTTTTAGAATGCAGAGGTCCGGGGCGTTGGCGGTGGTTGCTGCTAATAATTTTGGCGCGCTGGGTTGTGTGTGGCGAGAGGGCTCGATGTGTTTGTGTTATGGCGGGTGGGTTGCTGCCAGGGGACGCGTCGATTGCAAGGTGGAGTGGGGCGAAGGGAATGCAAGTACCTGCCCGGGCTTGACGGGACATCGGTGACCCGATGCCTTCTTCACCCGATCCACCCGGAAAAAAAAAAAAGAACATTGAATGGTTTGATCCAAAAGTTCAAGGGTCAGAACAGACAATACATCCAAGCTTGACGACCCACAAGTACAGTAGTGTAGGGGGTGGCACAGCTGCAAGATACTTATCTTGTCGTGGTCCCTGCCTCCCCGGGGACAAAACTGGTGGTTGTGGCGTGTTTTGCTCTCTTGCGACTCGTCTCCGTCCATTACAACAGAGCTGGCGACCGGCATCCGGGGAGCGGGGAAAAATCTTCCCGTGATCTCCCGCACGTTCGTTCCCCGCTCCCCACCAGCTCTCTTGCACCAGCTCTATTGTGCACTTGCACCTTGTCAGTCGTGTTTGACTCACATTTGCCTTGCAAATATTAGAGCACTATATAGAATGGTGAGGTACCAAGTGTGCTCCAGCACAACAGGAAGTTATGTCAGCTGTCAGTAGAAGTGGCAGATTTGAAGGCCGTACCTTATATCGCTATATGCATACAACATGAAAATTGGAGGTAGCCGGAAAGAAAAAAAATAACGAGGGGAAGTTGTTGAAGTTGTCTCAACGGCCCCGGCCCTGCACAGCAGTAGTGCAAAGGAAGTGCCGCCGCCTTTATTCCCTCAGTCGTGACATGTAACAGTCCCTCAGTCTACAACCAGAGTGAGGAACCAGCAAGTATACTAAGTACTGCTGTTCAAGAGATTAAATCAACACGTGAGTCCTCGTCAGGTCTTCAGGGATTTGCCACGCCGCGTGTTATTCTCACAACGTTTGGTGTGTTGATCAGCTCTTGCTCTCCTTTCGGGGGCGGACTTGTTTGCTGTGTAGATTGTCTCACTGTTGTGGGGGCGGTAGCGCGGACACACTGCTGCGTCCAGCAGTCCCATGCTTACGATACGCTCAATTGGTTCGTTGTCGCTTGGTTGCATAGCGTGTGTGGTCTTAGCCCGTCTCGCGAACCTACACTGCTGTACCTCAACACTGCATTCATTCGCCCTTCGCGATCAACTTGCTCCGCGTGTCGATCGACAGCATGTACTCCTGCTGTACTGACCCTCACGATGAAGTTGCGTACCTGTCTAGGCTTCTCTCGCTAAGAGCACACAGATACAGCTTCCTGGCGAACATGCGTAGACACACGGTAGACGCTGCTCAGAGGTGCGCATATGCACGCAAACGTGCTGCTTGCTTAGCTATGCTTGCTGCTGTTTACACCAAAAAATGTCTGATGCCGCGGTGAACACCGCACCGCCTGTTTTTGAGCATGTTTCTGGTGTTCTGGGGCGACCGCCATGGGGGTTGCCCACCCCACCGACGAGCGCACTTCAGCTCTCGGCATCGCACCCACTTCGCGTAGTAGGCGTACTGTAGTTCGCCACCTGTCGCTTCTGGTGGTGCGCGTCGTGTCGCACCTGCCGTTGGCGATGTGCGTCCGTTTATTTGTTTCTATAAATGCAGACAGAGTAGTTCGAGAACAAGCCTCGCGGCGCAGCGGAATATACTGATTTTCGTGTACTATTATCCCTTCAACTGACATGTAGAGACCTTCATGACGGTGCAGTCTCCCTAGCGTCTATCGACGACGATTCCCTGTTTCGCAATGTCATCGACGGAGAGATGTCAGAGTGTCTGCTTTTGTCAACAAGCGAGTGAGTTCGGTCACCGAGCTCGCGGACCGCCTTCGCGAGATCAATATGTATTATGAAGACCGGTCCGGGAAATGTTCCAAACATTTTCCAGGAACGTTCGCACACGAAAGCACTTGTATCGCAGGGGTGCCTTTCATTCCCACTCTTTCGGCAACCAAGCGCCGACACGGCAAACAGGAGGAAAGAGTGAGCACGTTTCGCAGCAGTTCATTTGTCAGGCGCGCCCCTGCTGTTTGACAACCGGGGCTTGGTAGCAGCGCGGCGCACACCATAAGTGCCGTCTTGTGTTTGTCGACGCGCTTTGTTACCGCAGCGTTTTTCCTCTTGTCTCCCGTGGCTACAGCAGTGGTCGCCATGTCTTCGCCGGCTCGCATGGCCACCGATCCGGCGGCCGCGTCCACCATTGCGGCAGGGGCAGACTACGCCGTCGTCCAAAATCTCATCCTGGTGCAGCGCGGCGACTCCCGCGTCATGGATCTCGAGCGCGTGGGGATGTTTCCCGGGCCGAGGTCGTGCGCGGACACGAAAAACCTGTCCGTGTTGATCGCGGTCGTGCAACCACTGGTAGACGCGCACGACTACGAACCCAAACCCATATTTCTGGATCTATGGTCGACGGCGCGTGACGCGGGCGGGAACGGAGCGGAGATCCTCACGCGCGCCAAGATTGCTCTGATCCACGCTACGCTCGAGTATCTCTTCAAGCGGGCCAACCACGGGGACCTCCGCGTGCTGCCCGACGCTGCCTTCTTGCCGTCTGTGTAATCGTCAGCTCCTCCTGCGGCCCAGCCCGTGGTTCCGTCGGCCCCCGCGCCGGCCGCCGGCGCCCCCGCCTCCCCCCCCGCGCCCGCAGCGGCAGCCACCACAGCAGCCGCTACACCATGTGCAGCCACCGCTACGACCGCGACTTCAGGGTCCGTAGTAGCGCCGGGGAGCCACCCGGGGGACGAGGAGGGCGCGAAAGGCGGGCTCGTACGGGTGGAACGGAAGGAGCGGCTGGCAGTTCGGTGGCGGGAGAGCCCTCCAAAAGGATGGCAGTAGGAGACAGCGCGGGCGGACATCGTCCATTGTTCAAGGTGTTGGTGCAGGCGCAGGTGAGTTTGGTTTTCCGCTTGGGTGTGAGGTTTTGCGACGGCCTGCCTGTAGGGAGGCGCACTCGGCGCGAGTTAGGGAAAGCAAAACATCATCGCTCAGATGCTCTTGTACACCAGACCTGTCGCTTGAGGTCGGCACAATGCACAGCTGTGCGGCTCACGTTCGTTATCCTTTGACAAGCGAGCGCTGAGGCGTCAGATATAACGCGGGGCATGCCACCCGGCGCGACGATCAGTTGGTCGAAGAGGAGCCAGTACGGTTGGAGGCGTGAGGCAGAGCCGTCGGTGTGTTCGGTCTTCGTTCTTTGATTTTTCGCGTCGCGCGCGTTGGAACATGTTCAAGTATTGGGTGCCTTTCAAATCGGAACAAGCGGTGTTGTTTTTCTGTTGGGTCCGGCGGGGCCACTCGCACTTTGGTTTGTGATCGTTATTTCACCCCGGCTGCAGCAGTCGCATTGCCAATGTCACCACACGCGCGAGATAAAGCGAATAAGATGTTCTGCGGTAGGCGTAGGTGGCGTTGACTGCATGCTAGCGTGTTGACGAACGCTGCACGAATAGTTGTCGAGCCGCTCAAGTTCATCCGCGGACCCATAGCAGCAGTGGTTTCAAAAAATCAAGGCTAGATACATATTCTTGATTTGTGACGGACGTGTTTCAGTGGGGTTTGCATATGCACGGTGGCACACGGGAGCGAATGCATAACCCCTTAAGTACAAGCACGTGCACTGTCGGCCGTAAGAGCGCCCGGGCGGCAGGCACTTTGTAGCCGAGTTCAGGCACACGCACATACGCCCGTACCGGACAGAAAATTCGGGCACAAACGACGGCGCAGGGTACGCAAGCACGGTACGAACGGTAGAGCACAGTGTACGCACGCACGGTACAAACGACAGAGCACAGGGTGCGCACGCACCGTACGAACGGCAGAGCACGGTGTACCAAACGACAGAGAACAGGGTACGCACGCACGGTACAAACGGCAGAGCACAGTGTACGCACGCACGGTACAAACGACAGAGCACAGTGTACGCACGCACGGTACAAACGAAAGAGCACGGGGTCGCACGCACGGTATTTCATGGTCGAACGTCCCCAGAAACAACTTCGGGCACAAACGACAAAGCACAGGGTACGCACGAACGGTACAACATGGGCAAAGGCCCCGCACACACAAAGTACCTCAGCAAATTGAGACCCACACCCTCCTACGCACAGCGGTATGTGGGAGACTTGTTACCACACGCGCATGCACACGTACTTGTTCGAAGCACGCACAAACGCGGGCTCACATAGCTACCGGTCGCCCCGGTAATGTAGTGGGTTGCCTCGCAGCCTGCTAAGGGCCAGGTCAGGGGTTCGAGTCCCGACAGAGTGAGTTTTTTCTCGCTAGTTAAATCCTGGTCTCCGTTGGAAGCGACGCGCTGCAAAGCTCGTTGCTAGTAAACTTGATCGACTTCATAAGTCGCGAGGGAAGGGATTGCTGTACCCTTCTCGCGATAGAAATGTTTCAGGCAGGAACCGCAGGAGGGGGTCCAACCCCGCCCTCCTATGTGACCCCGGTTGGGTCGTCTAGCTGGTAGAAGTGGAGGATAGGGGCCAGAGGGGCAGACGACAGA